GGAGGAGAAGGGGATGACAGAGGATGAGATGGTTGGATGGCATCACTGACTAGATGGAGATGAGTTTGAGGAAGTTCTGGGAGCTGGTGATGGACAGGGAAGCCTGGCATGCTGCAGTCCACGGGGTTGCAAAGAGTCAGACATGACTGAGTGACTGAACTGAAGGACAAAGAAGTCCGCAGAGCAGAGGGGACAGCAACTTGCAGCTAGAGAGTCAGCATGTGCAAAGGCCCAGAGGCCTGGCACACTTGGCTGAGAAACCAGCTGTGAAGCCTTTGTAATAATCCAGAGGAGAAACAATGGTGACTTAAGCTTGGAAGGGGAGAGCGGGAGTGGAGAAAGAGGGCAGGACCCGGGAAGATTGAGGGAAGAGAGTCGGTAGGACTTGGGGACTGATTTGGTGTGTGGTGTGACGGAGAAGAATGGCTCAAGGATGACACGACTTTCTGGTTTGAGAAGGGTTGGGGGAGACATAGATTTAATTGATCGCGATTCACTGGGGCTACCTTTAGCGTATCCTACGGATGATCAGATGATCTATCCGGGCTATATCACTTTTGCTGCAGAAAACAAAGCAGGGAGCAGTCTCTCAGAGCTCTCTGAGAGGCTGTCTCCTGGGCTGCAGTCCTCATTTTGCCCCAAATAAAGTTTAACTTGCAACTCTCAAAACAAAACAAAACACAAGCGACCATTTGGTCTGTCTGTCCCTCTAGAGGAGAAAGGCACCCAACTAGAAAAGTTTGTTTTCAAACCGCTCCCATCCAGTTCTTCCTTCTCCACCTTGTGGCCAGAGAGAAAACCGCAGCCTGCCTTGGGCGGTTTCCACAGTTGAAACGTTCAGTTGTATCCATCCATGCCTCTTGTGAAGCGATTCCTCACTTTCCCCTCAGTTCTTTGGTATCGTGGAGACCTGGTACGCACTGGCTCTTCAGGAATTGTGAAGATGAGACAGTTTCATGTGAGTGGCCGGCTATTCGGTGGGAAGAAAGTCTTTGAGCTGCGCTAAGCAGGCTGGTGCCATGAGGACACAGCATGGCGTCTCAATTGCCCACATGGCAAGAGACCCCGCTGCTGACTTTGTCACTGTTCCTTTGCAATCACTGACAGCTTTGCAGAAAAAAAAAAAAATGGGGGAGAAACTGCAGGAATTTCCTAGGGTCTAAATGGGGGAGAAACGCTGCAGGGATTTCCTAGGGTCTGAATAGGCAGAGGTGGTGGATGTCGGGTCAGATGGTCACACTCAGAGCCCTGCTCTGCTCCATTCAGGCGAACAGAGGGCGCAGACGCCCGGAAGCCCTTTCACAATGTAGACACCTACGCGGTTGGTCAATCACACCCAGGCCCACCACCCCACTGTCCCGCCACACACATGATTCATCTTGACCTTTGCTCTATTGTTGAACAGATTCCTTGCCAAACCGGGGTTTTCATAAATGATTTCCAGGAAATGGGAAGGTTGAAATCAAGTTGAACTTGTGCGGTTTTGCTCTTTAACTTGAGCTTCCTCTGTGATTCCTGGATGGTCTCACAGCTCTGCCTTCCATAACCACTGCGGGTTGCTTGTTTTGACTCCAGGAAGCTCCGAGGTAATCTATCCTATTAAACTCAAATAGAATGTTGGCAAGTAAAAAAAAGTCTGAGCATCAGCCCACACAGAAGAAGAGTTTATCTTGCCCGAGAAGTAGAAAAATCAAATCTCCATCTCATGGGAGCAAATTTCCCTTGCTCGGATTTCACAAGAAAATATGTTTTGGACTCCCTTCCCAGAGGTAAAAATAAAAGAGTGAAAGTTCTTTGTTTGAGTCATTTTGGCAAGACCGCTGTCCCTGTCTTCGTCTCTCCGCCAGTTGGGAGACGTCAGAATTTTTACGAGAGTGTAAGCGCTGAGCCATTTCCCAAGCATTGTCACTACAACTGCATATTAAAGACCCTGAGAATCACTTTACACCTACTTTTTTTTAAAGGCATGTTTGGCTTTTATTAACTAATTAATTTATTTTTGGCCGCTCTCGGTCTTCACTGTGGCTCACACACTTTCTCTAGTTCTGGTGCACGGGTTTCTCCCTGTAGGGGCTTCTCTCATTGTGGAGCATGGGCTCTAGGTGTATGGGCTCAGTAGTTGTGGCCCAGGGGCTCAGTTGCCCTGTGACATGTGGGATACTAGTTCCCAGTCCAGGGATTGAACCCGTGTCCCCTGAGTTGAACAGAGTGACTCTCAACCACTTAGACCACCAGGGAAGTCCCTACACTCACCTGTCAGGACAGAAACCCTTTAGGAAGAGCTGATATAAAATTTGAGACCTCACAGCACAACTTGATAATTGGAATGTCTTCTGGCTTTATGTGGCTGTTCTTTAGTTTTCAAATATATTTTAGCTCAACTGTGAGATATAGACGCCTATAGAGATTGGACCTGGCCCTGCCTGACAAGCCTCCCGTTGGCCATTCCACGAAGCAAAGAAAGGCAGCCGTTCACAGGGAACCACCTTCCAGTTTCTTGTCATGGCCGTTTTCTCCATGTTTTTCTTTACTTCATTGCTGCGTTACTTCTCAAGTGTGTTAGTCGCTGAGTCCTGTCCGACTCTTTGCAACCCCAGGTGTCAGAGCCACTCAAGAAGTTATAAGCATGGTTAAAAGATAATGCTGCATTTTCCTTCCCCCCATTTCCATTCAAATAATCATGAAGATGGAAAAGTGGAAAAATACAGCACTGAAAACCAAAGAGTTTAAAGGGAAGTTTCTAATAATCACAGAACCAGTGAGATTGAATAAAGAAATACAACAGAAGAAATCAACTAACATCCTACACATGACAACTCTGCCACGCTACAACTGGTAGAGACTCCTCGGCCAGCTTACAGCACAGAGGCACCTCTCTGACCTAATAAGGGTCCCCTACTAGCCACTACTTCCTACACCTTTTCAGGGAGCCAGAAACTCTGTACCCTAGAGACATTGACTATTCTCTCCTTGAACTCATCAGGGGAAACAGAAACTAGGACCTAACGGCTGATGCCTTAAGAGAGATCCTGAAGACTCAAAGCCAGTAGGATGGCATATTCAAACTGCTGTCCTGCCCGCTGTCCACCCAAAGCTTTTGGAGGTTCAACAGGCTCAAGCCTTTCGGGGGGGCTGCTCCCTGTCGTGACGATGCCTGTTATTCCACCACTATGGCTGAGTGGAGTGGAGACTTTTCTGTTTCCAGGAGTCTCCTTGTCATTGTTGTTGAGTCACTAAGTCACGTCCGACCCCATGGACTGCATCAGGCCAGGCCTCCCTCCCTGCCCTTCACCATCTCCTGGAGTTTACCCAAGTTCATGTCCATTGAATCGGTGATGACATCCAACCATCTCATCCTCTGTCACCCTCTTCTCCTTCTGCCTTCAGTCTTTCCCAGAATCAGGATCTTTTCCAATGAGTCGGTTCTTTGCATCAGGTGGCCAAAGTATTGGAACTTCAGCTTCAGCCTTAGTCCTTCCAAAGAGTATTCACGCTTGATTTCCTTTAGGACTAACTGGTTTGATCTCCTTGCAGTCTAAGGGATTCTTCAATAGTCTTCTCCAGCACCATGTTCCGAAAGCATCAGTTCTTCAGCGTTCTGCCTTCTTCATGGTCCAACTCTCACAACTGTACATGATTACTGAAAAGACCATAGCTTTGACTATACTTTGTGGGTAAAGTGATGTCTTTGCTTTTTAATACACTGTCTAGGTTTGTCATAGCTTTCCTTCCAAGAGCAAGCATCTTCTAATTTCATGACTATAATCACTGTCCACAGTGATTTCAGATGAGTCTCCTATGAGAATGCAGACATTTCTTGGCAGGAATTAGATGCCAGAGGTTTCCCGGCCCTGGCTGCACATTCAAAGCATCCAGGGAGCCCTGAAAAAATATAGATGCTGCACTCCACCACAGACCAGTTACATCAGAAAGGCGACGGGGGGTTGGTTGTGGGAAGAGGTGGGGAGTGCCCTGGCCATAAGAGTTTAAAGCTCCCTGGGGAGTTTTCATCTGGACCAGGGGAAGCCGAGAACATGGACCATTTGAATGCCTGAAATGTCAGCAGAAAGGGACTTAGAAATCAGCAGAAACTTTTTGGCAGGGCGGGTTGGGGAATCCGTGGCAGAGACTAGGCTGGGAGGGTCACTCTGCTGGCTCCTCCACCAAGAGAGGCTGCCTCTAGAAGTCCCGAGAAGGCAGTGGAGAGGCACTGGGGGGATGAGGCACTTGTTGGCACCAAGGTGAATGGCCAGATTCACCATTCTGTCCCCAAGGTCCCGGCACGAAGTCCCCAAAGCCGGGGCTTCTGGCACAAGGCTTCCTCTCTCTCTCCCTTGCTTCTTTCTTTCTTCCTTCCCTTTCTTCTTATATGGCCTTTATTCAAAGCTTGCCCTCATAGAGATTCCCCCTCCAGTGCCCTAGAAAATCATATACTAAAATTAAGACTTTACAGATGGGGTCTGAGGTACACAAAGACAACGACTGCAGGGGGGAGGGGGGAGGGGGGTACCCGCCCATGGGGACACAGCAGGCCTCTCTCAGGGCTGGTGGGTGGACTTCCAGGTATTTCTGTGGCAGAAGGGGTTCTTAGCCAGCATCCTCTCTTTGCCTTCTTAGCCGGGAGTTAAGGACACTGGCCTTAACTTAAGAGGGTTGCTCCGTTCTTCTGTGACATTGAGCAGCTGGAGGATGGAAGGCAGACTGGGGCTGGCAGGGGCCCTCCGTGTCTACTGGCACAGATTTCTGCCCACCAGCAGCGTGGGCGCATCGGGGGATGCAATTAACTCTCTGAGCCATCCTGTGAGCCATGGGTGCCCAATTCTGCCAGGTGTCAACCCTAAAGGTGTGAACCCATGGCTGAGCACAGAATCAGGCAGATGGCCCGACCGCCCCAGTAAGGAGTCCCTGGGATCAACCTCAAAAGAGAGGTCCGGAGGGTGACTAGGAGGGCTGCACGGGGGAGGTGCTCCAGCCTGAACGAGTCGGGGCCCACCGCCCGCCTACTGCGACCTCAGGAGGGGCCGGGCCGGGTCGGCCAGAGTGGCCCAGAGCGCGAGGGCTGGTGGGAAGCCGGGGCGGGGCGGTGTGCGGGGAGGATCACACTGCTGGGAGCAGGGCGTTCCCGCCGCCCCCCGGGATCCGGCTGCTCCGAGCAGCTTCCCGGGGCGGCCGCCGGCGCCCTCTAGCGGCCAGCAGTGCTCCCTGCCGCCCGCAGCCGGCAGCTCTGCGTTTCCGCCCCGCACGCATCCCTGACCCCCAGCCCAACACTGAGCGGCCGCTGGCCCTGCTCCCATTGACTGCTGTCGCGGGGTTGCACTCCCTGGGACCCTGCGCTGTGAAAGATTTTTGTCTTTATTAAATAATAACACATATCCTTTACAAAAAATCTGAAAAATTTAAAAAACGAACAAGATGGACTGAGGCAGCAGTTTCACAGCAGGAATTAACAATACCGCAGGCAAAAGGGAAGAAAGAGGACCTTCGGCCCACCTCTGCTGCCGCCAGCCTTGCAGAGTGCGACCCTGTGCCCTCACGCCTGTGTGTGTACACAGCCACACGCACTGCTTGGCACCAGGCTGGTGCACGCTTGTGCCCTGGGCCGTGATCAGGCCAGCCTCCCGGCTAAGGTGAACCCTGACCCTGGCCTGATCTCTCTGGGTCTCTGCCCTCTGGGCGTTCGTTCTGTTGCTGATTTCCATCTGTGTCTTTTCATTGGTGGTTGGGGGTGGGGGGTGGGGGGGACAATCGTCTTCTGGATTCTGAAAGCCTATCTTGTGAGTTATCGAACTCAAGGGCGATCTGGGGGTTCCCAACACACTGTTCTATGGGGTGAGGGTGAGGCCGATCAGGTTTATACAAAGCACTTGAAGAGAAAAGAGCTGTCTTGTGGTCACCCACCCAGTAAGTAGGCGGCCGGCTAAGGAGAAAGCCGCGGAGGCACTTGGCCTCCAATAAGCTCTCTGACCTGCTGCCAGAACTCCATTCATCAAACTGATGGGAGCCCGAGCCCCAAGTGTCCAGGACACGCCCTCTGAAGCCACCGGGGTGGTCAGACCAAGTGGTGCATTTAGAGAACAGGGCTCAAATCCTGGTATCCAGGCCGATTGCCTGAGGGGCTGAAATGGAGCCTGGAGGAAACGCCTGCTCCGGGTCCCCCCCCCCCCCCATTGTCTCCCCCACTCCACCCGCTGTCTCCACCCCCTCCTCCCCTCCGCCCAACCTTACACACACATTCAGGCACCACCAGAACCGTGGCAACCCACAATGCTGTCTCTGATTGACTCTCACCAGCTTGCTCTCGAGGTTTCTTGTATCAGGCAAGAATACTGGAGTGGGCAGGTGGGTTCTTTACTTCTAGCGCCACCTGGGAAGCCCCTAGGAATCACTGGGGAACTTGATAAAAGCAGTTGCTCGGGCCTGTGTCCCGGGGATTCTCCCCAGTAGGGCTGGGGTAGGGCCCAGGAACAGGAATTGTTATTAATAATAGCACCCCAGGGGCAGCAATGGGATCTACCAATGGCCCTGTTAGACCAAGCCGGAGGCACAAGCCTTCTCCAAAGGAAATTTTGAAATAACTCGGTTTCATGCCTACCCCAAATATTTTAAATCTTTTTTTTTTAACCTGTAGTACTGTAGACAGCTCCGTTTAGCCCCGGTGGGAAAAAAGCATTCAAGATCAAGGCAGTGCGCCACCTTGTGGAGCTTGTTGGAAGGACTAGGCATCAGGGACAAGAAGGCTGTGCTGGGTTACAAGCTCCAGGACAAGACCAAGTCAGCGACGTGAACCTACGCGCTGCAGTCATGAAAAGCCACCCACGGGATCACAACCTTGAGCAGTGGCCTGTAGGGGAAAAGTAACAAGGAGGAGAAAAAGGAGGAGGTGGGAGAAAGGAGAGAGGTAGGAAGGAAGAGAGAGGAAAGAGGAGTGCAATAGAAGAAACACTCACTTTCAGGCCAGCACCGACTGTTGTGCTCAGTCGTGTCCCACTCTTTTGGGCCCCATGGCGCCTCTGTCCGTGAGATTTCCCAGGCAAGAATGCTAGAGCGGGTTGCTACTTCCTACTGCAAGGCATCTTCCCAACCCAGGAATCGAACCCGTGTTTCTTGCATCTCCTGCATTGGCAGGTGGATTCTTTACCACTGCACCACCTGGGAAGCCCTAGGGACTGTTACAAAAACATTTTTTTGGGGGGGGGGGGAGAGTTTGCTCTGCATTATATAACACTTGTAGGAAAATTTGCCTTAGCAGATCATGATGCCGTTGGCATTTACCGAGCCATTAAAGATAGTGATTCAGGAAAAGGATTATCTGCAAGACTGTCTTTAATGCCAAGGACTTTGACTTGTTTTGAGACAAGATTCCTTACAAAACTTTTATTAGCTGTGTTTTTTTTAATGTATTTAATGCTATTTTTAATCCCCTTCCAACCTTGATCTTGCCAATTACGGCTGGCAACAACGTTTCCAGGTACAGAAACTGTCAAGAAGGTCTTCTGTTTCCAGGATGCTAGAGTTTCTGTTTCTCTGCGCCCCATTTCCAGGACTGATCCATTTATGAGGCTGCCAGTCTGTGTGGTCACTGGTCGTGACAGGGTAGGGACACAGGTCCCTTTCTCTTATGGAACTTCATTTTCTCCTCCAAAAACAAAAATGATTGGCCGAGATATTCCCCAAGGTCCTTCCCGGTCTGATGTTCTAGATTCTGATACCTTTTCTGAAGTTAGCCAACGGCCCTACTTGCTGGACCAGAATGAGGAAATTAGTGCTTTGGCTCTCTCACCTGTAAAGCTGGGGGGAGGGGATAATACTGCCTTGAGCACCACGAAGAGATGCTGGGGGGCTCCAATGTGCAAGAAGGTAATTATAATTAATTTTTATAAATCGAAACTGTAACAGCCTTTACAAACGTGTGGGGCAAAGTACACCTTCAAGACCAGCCAGATAGATGCCTTAAAACAGAAGCTCTTAACTTTTTGGCAATTTGATATTTTGAGAATTTAATAAACACTTTGAACTCCTTTCCCTGTCCCCCCACCGCCCCCAAATGGACACACATGCAAAATTGCGCTTAACCAGGGCTCACATTTTCTTAGATAATAAACCACTGTGTTTTCATTCTCAGTAACCGCTAATTCTTGCTTGCGCCGGTTTCTCCCTCACATATTAAATAAGAGGGGTCATTGCTTCAAAGCGAGGTTAGTGCAGCCCGGGACAGACACATCCTCGTTTAGTTCTGTATTTCAAATTACACTTTTCTGGGTCAATAGGAAGCTCACAGTTGTAGGCTTTGTTGACAGAGAAGATGATTCCTAGGCTCCAACAGCCTCCCTTCACAAAGCAAGGGCAAAGCTGGGTGGTCTGAATTTAGCCTTTCATGTGGTTTCCGGTATACGGAGGTCCTGTCTGCTCCCCTTTCCCCACCCCGGAGGGACAGCAGCCCCCTTTCTCTTTCAAGTATGGAGTTGTGCTGGGGAGATTTGGCGATGGAGGAAGAATAGGAAGAAGCCAAAGAAGACAGGGCTTTGGAATTTCGTGGGGAATTTCCTGGGGAACAGACTACTCACAGGATGCCCTGGATCAGCACGTGGCCAGTGACAATGTGCTCAGTTGTATCTGACTATGCGACCTCATGGACTGTAGCCCACCAGGCTCCTCTGTCCATGGGATCGTCCTGGCAAGAATACTGGAGTGGGTAACCATTCCCTTCTCTGGGGGATCTTCCCCACCCAGGGGTCAAACCTCAGTCTCCTGCATTGGCAAGTGAATTTTTTACCACTGAGCCACCACGGAAGCCCAGCATGTGACCAGAGCACTGTGGAATCAGCTCCCAGCCCAGCAAGGGAGATAAGGCTTCTTCCCCATGGCCTCGGTGAGGTCTGTAGGAAGCCCAGAAGTCTCTGCAGGCACCCTTGTGGGGACCCAGAATCAGTGAAGGGACTGATGGATGGTACAGGAGGAGCCTGGGGGCAGGATAAGGTGGCCACAGAGATGGCCCCTTTGTGCCCAGAAGGTGTCTCTGATTATCAGAGCTGAAACCATCCATGATGTCAGCAGTGATCCTGAGGCTGAAAAAGAAAAGGGAGGTCAGGGGCTTAGAGTCAGGAAGAACTTTTTCTGAAGTTTAGTGGAGCTGAGGGGACTCGGAAGGTGGACTAGGTCAGCATTTTCTGGCCGCTGAAGTTCAGGGACCAATTCGAGTCTCATCCGAGAACTGTGACACTTCCTCTCTTGTCCACTAGATGGCACTGCTGCAGTGTTTGCTTCACTATCCTGGCGAGGTGGGCTCTCGCATCCGGGGGCTTCCCAGGGGGCTCAGTGGTAAAGAACCTGCCTGCAATGCAGGGGACCCGGATTCGATTCTTGGGTCAGGAAGGTCCCCTGGAATAGGAAGTGGCAGTTCGCTCCAGTATTCTTGCCTGGGGAATTCCACGGACAGAGGAGCCTGGCAGGCTACAGTTCACGGGGTCGCAAAGAGTTGGGCACAACTGAGCAGCCGTGTGACAAAGGCCAACGTGCTGAAAGCTGTCATCGAATCAGGTGACATATGCCACCCTCTGGGGTCCAGTGTGTGGCAAAGTGGGGTTTTGAACCCAGAAGGCTGGGAGCAAAGAACAGGGGAGTGTCAGTTACCAGAACAAATTCTAGGCTGAGACCCTCTTGCAGTGGCTGAGAGACTCCCTTCTGGCCTGCATCCTCTAGGGACCTGGGGCTGGGGGCTGGCCATGATGACCCAGGGAATCAGCTGGGATATTGTCAGATTATCTGGACTGGGGACAGAGCTTGGGGTGGGCAGGTTGAATGAGATGAAGGCTTCTGCATGGTATTGGCACATAAGACATTCTGGTTGCCATTTTTTCCCTTAGGTGTACACTGCTACTTTATTATCAGTGACCAGGGGGTCCATTCACTGAAACACTGCATGCCTTTAACTTACTTGGGAGTTATGACTCCAAAAAAACCTGTCTTGTACCATGTGGTGCCTTGATGAGATGAGATATGAACAAGATCCCTGTCTATGCAGCTTCTTAAGTTCAGGTTCATGGACTCCCAAGGGCTCCATGTGTAGGATTCAGGAGCCTGTGAACTCAGATAAGAAGAGAATGATGCTCTTGGTTTCTTTTACCTCTAAATGAAATTTAGCATTTCCTTCAATTGTGAATCTACCTGCAATGCAGGAGACCTGGGTTCTATCCCCGGGTCGGGAAGATCCCTTGGAGAAGGGAATAGCAACCTACTCCAGTATTCTTGCCTGAGAATTCCACCGACAGAGGAGCCTGGTGGGCTACAGACCATG